CCTCATCCAATATGTGTGATGTACTTGGGGAGAAAGTAACCTCTTTACTCATCTACATAGGTTCATGAGTCATGAAAACACATGTCCCCACACCAAGCTGGTCAATACAAGACCTCGAACTGCATCACGTAAACCCTTTCTCAGGAGTAAAGTCTAGAGAATCTGAAATGGTGAGCTTTTTTTTTTTTTAGACGAAGTCTCACTCTGTTGCCCAGGCTGGAGTGCAATGGTGTGATCTTGGCTCACTGCCACCTCCACCTCCTGGATTCAAGTGATTCTCCTGCCTCAGCCTTCAGAGTAGCTGGGATTATAGTTGCCTGTCCCCATGCCCGGTTAGTTTTTCTATTTTTAGTAGAGACGGGGTTTTACCATGTTGGCCAGGCTGGTCTCGAACTCCTGAGCTCAAGTGATCCACCCACCTCAGCCTCCCAAAGTGCTGGGATTACAGGCATGAGCCACCATGCCGAGCTGTGAGCCTATATCTTAATCAAAGTCCTGAGAATAACCTTGAAGAAGACTCCCTGGCAATGAGGAACAACAGAAGAAGCAACGGACTTGGAATCTGCAGACCTGGGTTGGAATTCTGGCTCTGTCACTTTCTGCTGAAGTGACTTGAGTAATGAACATGAGCCTTTCTGGGTAGCATTTACAGCACAAGGCAGTTTGAGGAAGCAATGAAAGAGCATGTGTATAGCGCCTAGCAGTGCGCTGGACACAGTGCCGGTGCTCAGACATCATGTCACACCAGCACTGACCAGTGAGCATGAACCCTGGGGATGCCCAGAGCTGGTACTGCCAGGAGCTCCGGAAGCATGGGATTCTCAGAGGGAAACGGAGCTCACTGCTCTAAAAGTCCTATTCAAGTTCGAAAGTAAGATACAATGCACACAAAGCCAAACTGTCATCATTCAGCTCCTATTACAGGGGAACTAAGAGCTGCATCGAAAATTACTTGCAAAGCTTGTAAGTGGTTCTGCCATTTATTAGTCATGTGAACCTAAGCAAATCACCTAGCGTCTCTGAGTTTCAACTTCCTCATCTGCAAAATAGAAATGATAATAATAACCGCATCGCAAGAGTTGTTGGAAAAATGAAAGTGAGATATCATAGGAGGTAACACATATGGAGCATTTACCATATGGCAAGCACTGTTCTAAGAACTTTGGACATGTTATCTCACTTGTATAAGTACTTAGGTGCCTACAACCTAAACAGGACCTAGTAAATGTAAGTACTGAAAAACTGCTATGGGGCAGAGGAAGAAATGCTAAGCTTCTGTGAGAAGAGAAGACAGCTTGTTACACAGGTGAGAAGAATAAGCTGCAGCTGAGAAGAAAAGTATAAGAGTTGCTACGTGTGACAATCTCAAGACTTTTCAACCATTACAAATTTAAACAGCCACCCTAAATCACCCCAAGGACAGACCCCAGTTGTTCTTTTCATCTTTAATGTTTTGCCTCTCTGAATCCGAGAAGCAGCTGCCAGGGTTCCAATACATACCAAAGCATGATGACAATACCCTCAACTGCGCACACTTCTGTGCATCTACCGCTGTGTAAAGGAAGCTGATGTCACTAGACTGGGGGGCACAACAAGGCATGTTTGTGAACGAAGCTCAATTTGCCATCACAGGGTGGCCACACCTACCTCACTAATATTCTAATAGTGGGATAAATAATGCAATAGGGATAAAGCCTGGATTTTGCTCTTATTCTCTCTTAGGGCTTACATTCTTGGCATGATATTGATGCGCCACAGACAAGCCAATATGTGAGTGTGCTCTATCGGAATAAAGTATAGCCTTTCTACACTGCAAAGTCATCCAGTTTCTAAAATTATTGTTAGAACCAATGAAGTGACTAAGAGAATTTTAAAAAATAAGCCATCAGTCTGGATCTGTGTATGGGAATGAAGAAGCACTTTAAAGTCAGGGAAAAAATATAAACTTACTTAACATTTAGGATTATCAACCATTGCTGCTTTTCCATAAACCATTTCATCCATCATTTCATCTGTAAGAGATAAGATTACTGCCCCCATTCAGGGGGGACTTTGATAGTTAGCTGCCTGGTCCTTCTTGCTTGGATGCCCTGCAAATAAATGTCCTCCTTTCCCCAATGCAAAACCTCGATATGGGTGTTTGGCTTTACTGCGCTTGGGCCAGCAGAACCCAGTTAAGTCCACTAATAAGCTCTTGGTTTGTCTTTGAGATGGATTTCAGATTCCAAATGGACTGACCCTATCACACTGCTAACCTGGCCAGTCAGTATTTGTCAATAACATAGAGGCTTTATTCAAGAGATTTACTATGCTGCAACTATTGGAACCCAGGGATGATTTCAGGATTTTGTGGGGCCTGAACCTTATCTAGTAAAAACATTTAAAAAAAAGTATGAATACAAAAATTTCCAGGGGCCCTCCCAGGACCTTGGAAGGGCCTGTGCAAGTGAGAAGCCCTGAAGCTTAGGCTCTATTCAATTCATCATCCAGCAACCACAGCTGGGGCCTCTTTTTGTTGTTTGTTTTTTACAAACTTAGGTAATGCCAGGAAATATATTGTTTCAACTTACAAACACCACAAAATGGTGTCATAAAATTACTGGCACCTTCCCTTGGCAACTTGCCTTTGGAAAGAAATGCAATGGGCCTATAGGTCACATGTACCAAACATGACTCTGCAGTGTAGCTTTGTTTACCAGAAAGATTTGACCCAAACAAAGGAGCCCAGCCCCTAACACACTTGGTGTGTGGAGTCCCTTGTGCCAATCTCTGAAAGTAACTGTGACTTAGTTTGAAGGGCTCAGCTCTATTCTGTTTATATGAAATGAGTATTAATTTCCAGTATCAGCTGGCTCTGATTTTTTCATCACCATGAAGCAAATGCCCTTTTCTGTTAAGATGAACACAAACTGGAGATAAGCAAGTTAGTGTCTCCTCAAGTCTTTCTTACCCACCACCCATTCCTGCTTTGTCCTCTCCTGGTCACCCTGCTGTACAGATCCCCACATGGCTCTCGTATGTTTTCCCATCCGCATCCGCTTCCTCCTTGAGGAATGAAAGTCCCTTGGGGACAAAGTCCCCATCTTGGTGTGTCTTTGAGATGGAGTTTTTACCCCCGGCGCTTAGTAGAGTACCTGGCACAAACGGACATGGCACTCAGTGAATGTTTTTGAGTGAATTCATTAATTTTTATCAACCGTGATTCCAGTGTTTTCCTGGCGTTTCCTACATGATTGTAGTGAAGCTGGCTAGGTGGTGATGATGATGGTGGTGATGATGGTGATGATGACGCTTTGAGACAGAGTCTCACTCTGTCGCCCAGGCTGCAGTGCAATAGTGCGATCTCGGCTACTGCAACCTCTGCCTCCCGGTTTCAAGTGATTCTCCTGCCTCAGCCTCCTGAGTAGCTAGGATTACAGGTGCCCAACAACATGCACAGCTAATGTTTGTATTTTTAGTAGAGACAGGGTTTCACCATGTTGGTCAGGCTGGTCTTGAACCCCTGACCTCAGGTGATCCACCCACCTCAGCCTTCCAAAGTGCTGGAATTACAGGCATGAGCCACCGCTCCTGGCCACCAGATTCTTATGAGGGACTCCCAGTGTTATAAAGTGCTTAGTAAAGGTGGCAAGTTTAAGACGTTTGTATTGATGCTCCCTAAACCTGTTGGTGGAGGGACCTAATGAGCCTGTTCTCTGGTGTGAGGGCAAAAGAGAAACAGACCCTCAGTGTCCTTTTCCTAAGTTAGGCATCAGCAAATTAATGAGGACAGAGAGGAGCATCTGCAGAAACTGCTGCTCTAGTTCAGACACAACCTGAATGCCTCCCTCTACCTCAAAATGAACCGTGTGAAACTAGATTTCTGAACCACAAGAGAGGTGGAAAGTCTTTTCTAAAGTCAGATGTCGAGGAGAATCTTCACCTTGAGTCTAAAGTCCCCTTCAGGCCATTGAATATACCCACTCTGATTTGCTGGGTATGTTCTACAGAGAAATCATAGAATTTCTGCCCTTATGGTAGAAGAGTAGTCAAGAACGTATACGGGATTAAGAGAAAGTGATGTATTTTCTCTACAAAAAAAATTTTTTTGCACGATAGCTTAACATGAAAAGCATCTTGGTCAGACATGGTGGCTCACACCTGTAACCCCAGCACTTTGGGAGGCTGAGGTGGGCAGATCACCTGAGATCACCGGAGTTCAAGACCAGCCTGGTGGGGAGGTTGGAGTGCAGTGGCACAATCTCGGCTCACTGCAACTTTCACCTCCCAGGTTCAAGTCATTCTTGTGCCTCGGACTCCCGATAGCTGGGATCACAGGCGCCTGCCACCACGACCTGCTAATTTTTGTACTTTTAGTAGAGACGGGGTTTTGCCATGTTGGCCAGGCTGGTCTCAAACTCCTGACCTCAAGTGATCCTCCCACCTCGGCCTCCCAAGGTACTGGGATTACAGGTGTGAACTGCCACGCCCGGCCCAACACTTTGGATTTAACTTTGATTCCTGCTCATATGCAGAGTTTCTAACTGCTTAAATGTCTGCAACATTTAGCTGCAAGGAAGGAAGCTTAACACAAAGTCCTCCAGGGAGCAAAAAACTGCACCATCACACCCGGCTAATTTTCTTGTATTTTTAGTAGTTACAGGGTTTCACTATGTTGGCCAGGCTGGTGTTGAATTCCTGACCTCAGGTGATCTGCCTGCCTTGGCTCCCAAAGTTCTGGGATTACAGGCCAGCAACAAGACTAAGTTGAGGGTCACTTCTCTGAAGCCTTTTCTTGCCCATGCATAGGTCAGAACTAGGACAAGCAGAGCAGATCATATATAAGCTATGTATGTCTCTTGGCCTCTTTGTATCTTAGTTTCCCCATTTGAGAAAAATGAATGGATCTTAAGACATACTTTTCAGAGTTCATAATGTGCTTATACAGAGCTAACCAATAATTGTATGAGTTTTTATACATAAATAGTTGTTTACATGTATTTATCTTCTATTTCACTTACAACTTGTATAAAAACTGCATTCCGTGCCAGGCCTGAAATGTTCCAAAGCTCAGTTCTGTGAGTAAATTGCAACCAAGATTTCTAAAAACAAAACAAAACAAAACAAAAAAAAACACACACAAGCCAAAGGAAAAAAAAAAATTATTTCAGAACATTTATCATTTGCCATGATTCTAATTTATATAGGATGGAGCATAACCTCAATCCTTCCTGTATGCACTAAGGAAATCTCACTGTGGAAGATTCTGGCTTATGATTTATACTTTAACATTGCACATGTGGTGCATTAGCTACAAAACAGTGAATGCTCAGTAAATACCTGTGTGAAGTGATCTTTATTTCTCTAGAACAGGATTTCACAACTTCAGTACCATCGACATTTTGGACTCTACAACTCTTTGCTGTGGGGGTTTGTCCTATACCTTGGAGGATGTTGAGCAGCATCTCTGGCCTTTGCCCACCAGATGCCAGGAGCACACCCACAGTTTTGTCAACCAAAACTGTCTCCGGACATTACCAAATGCCACCTGAGTAGAAAATCACAGCAGCTGAGAACCACTGCTCTCTGCTGATTCACTATGATGTGTGTCATAATTCTCACACTAATCCTTGCTAGAGACAAAAAGGATTTGCTCTATAATTTTAGTAGCTTTCTACTGGTAAAACTTCAATCATATTTCAAAATGAATAGCAAAGAGGTTTATAATTAAGTTTTATAAAAATTCCAAATGTAATAAAGTTATATTTGTAACTTACATAAACTGCAAAAATGGTAGTGATTCAAATGTACGTCTTTCAATAGACTGTATTTTATTGCAGGATAAGTCTCTAGGAAAAGTAAAAGGAAAATATTGCCTTGATTAGTTATTAAATGTCAGTTAGTATGAATAATAGCAATAGTGTAGAATAATATTGAATACACATTTTTCACCTCAACTCTAAACGTTTGGACTTGGATTTGAACTTTCCAGAGCCCCTAACCCTGCCCATACCTCTCCTAGAGTCTCACCTTCATGTTTTTAATAAATAAAATATACAACTTAAAAGATTTTGGAATCAATTTCTCCTGAGAGCAGTACACTTGATTAGATGCCCTTTTGTAGTCTCATCAAATTATGAGTTCAAAGTTTTTATCCCTAATTTCTAATATTAAAAAAAATAGTCGGGCCGGGTGTGGTGGCTCACGTCTGTAATCCCAGCACTTTGGGAGGCCAAGGCTGGCGGATCCTGAGGTCAGGAGACTGAAACCATCCTGGCTAACATGGTGAAACCGTGTACCTACTAAAAAATACAAAAAATTAGCTGGGTCTGATGGCAGGCACCTGTAGTACCAGCGGCTCGGGAGGCTGAGGCAGGAGAAAGGCATGAACCCGGGAGTTGGAGCTTGCAGTGAGCCGAGACTGCACCACTGCACTCCAGCCTGGGCAACAGAGCGAGACTCCATATCAAAAAAAAAATGGCCTCACATTTATACACCTTCCTAGTTTAGGTCTGTTTTCCTAAGCCAATTCAATATCAGAAGAAATAAAATACATCCTTTTACATCATTTGAAAGGAAATTACCCCTTTACCTAATACATAACTTTGAACTAATTCAAATCATATTAATAGAATTTCTATCATAATAGAAATTCATTTTTGGTTTTATATTGCTTTAATATTTCATGAAAGCAATTTCTGCAGTTATACAGTGATGGGACTGGTCCCTCCCTCTTTACCTGGATGGTGTAACACTGTCTGGCTGATGTCTCCATCTCTAGTCTCTCCCTTCCTAAACTATCCTGCACACAGTCATCAGATAAACTCTCCACAAGTGGTTTGCAAAGACCAGCATTTCCTGGGAAATTATTGAAGATGCAAATTCTTGGTCCCACTCTAGACCAACTGAATCAGTAACCACGAGGGTGGAGTCCGGAACTGAGTTCTAACGCGCCCTCTCAGTGATTGTGATGCAGATCTATCTACAGCACTGCTGCAGTAACACGGTTCCCCATGATGGCTCCTCAGCTGGGCATTCAAAGCCCTAGAAGATCTGGCTCCAATTTCCTACTCTCCCTCCTTGTACTCTACAGGTACTCATGGCATTCCTCGAACACTTTCCTGTGCTTTGCCCTTCTCCCATTTTCCTTTTGCAAGTTGAGATTATTTCCCCCAAGATGTCTGTCTGATATTACACAATGGCCCTTCAAAGTCCAATTCAAATGGCATTGTTCTAGTAACATCCTCCTGGGTCCAGATTGAAAGCATTTTCCCCTCTTCTATGCTTCAGAAATAATTTATCCCTCCTATGCTGCAGAAACAATGTATCCCTCCTAGTGCCCACATCCATTTCTTCCTTTTAATGTAGTTATTTTTTATCCAATTTCTTCTGAGCATAAATTCCTTGCAAGCATGGACTAGGTCTTGCTCATCTGCATCACCCACCATGTTTAAAACTGACACATGGAAAAAAAGTAAATTCAAATATTTGTAAAATAAATGAATAGCTAGGGGAGTGAGTAGAAGGAAAATGACTATTTTAAAGGAAATGTAGTTTTATCATTTCATGACCTCTGTAGCACTTTGGCATCCACTTGAGGGTCTTTACACCCACTTTCCTTAATCCTTCTACATTGAAAGAATCTGTTTGCACAAAGAGCATCACTAATGAGCTTAACAAGGATTAATGACATACACACTTCTCTGACTGTGTGCAGGATGGTTTAGGAAGGGAGACAAAGGATAAGAAGCTTTCATAGCAATGAACATAATATCTTCTTGTCTCTAAACAGACAGAAATACTATGTGGGTATCCCTTTCTTGGTAATACAGGTGGGGAAATAGTTATTTTGTAATTAGTGAAGAGTTACGGGCATTTCTGGTATACTTCTGAGTGTAAACATTTCTAGCTCTACCACTTAACCACCATTTTAAACATCTGTTTTCATATAACAATTCCTGAAATGAAATCCTTAATACCAGTCTATTCTCTTGGGGGCTTAATATTCTTGATAATATTATCTATATAATTCAACTGATTTTTAATATTTAAATATTAATTTAATTCCCATTAAATTACCAAAAAATTCTGGATTAATGATGTACAAATGAATGTAGATGATCTATATCTTCTCCTTTAGGCAACAATCTGAAGTTAACTTTAATTCCTTTCATCCTACTCAACCAACTTTTTCAAATCTCTTTTTTGTGAAGGTCAGACAGTAAATATTTTAGGCTTTCTGGGCCACATGTGATCTCTCTCACACATTTCTCTTTGCTTCTTTTCTTTTTCTTTCACAGTTCTTTAAAAATGCAAAAATCTTAACTTAATGGGCTATTTAAAAATAGACCATACATTAGATTTGATCCATTGGTTGTAGACTGAATAGAAGAAGATGGTGTGTGAACACTTATAAAACAAGGTTCATACGGGTGTCAGTCACTGCTCAGATCTTCTTACCATGTGAAATTTTTTTCTGTCTGTATTTTGTCTATGGAATTAAAAAACTAAAAATGCATAGGAGGTAACTAATGCTAGAGATGGGCTGAGATCCTATACAAACTTACAGAATTGCAGAATTTTGTTGCTGGAAGAAATCTTAGCAATTATCTAATTTGAACCCCTTAATCATTTTACAGATTATATGACTAAAAACTCATAAATGTGATTAACTAACTTACAAATACTGGAGGGATAGCAGGCCTTCAAATGAATCCTTATGTAATTCAGTCAAATAATTTTCATTGAGAATTCTGGAAAATGAACAAGTTATTTCTAGATTAAAATGCAAAGTACAACTTATTGCCGCACAGGACTATGTCCTGCATGTGGGGGAAAGCTGGGTCATGGTCATTTGAAGACGGTGGTATCTGCTCTGCTTTCATTTCATTTCATTTCCTTTTCATTTCAAAACTAAATAAAGCAATTCACCTGCCTCAGCTTCCCAAGTAGATGGGATTACAGGCACCCACCACCAAGCTTGGCTAAGTTTTGTATTTTTAGTAGAGACAGGGTTTTGCCCTATAGGCCAGGCTGGTCTTAAACTCCTGACCTCAGGTGATCCGCCGACCTCGGCCTCCCAAGGTGCTGGGATTACAGGCATGACCCACCGCGCCTAGCGTGTGTTTTATTTTTAATTTAGAACTCATGCATGACTTGTCTATATACGTTGAACTAATGATGTGACACACAAACTGTTGTGAAAAATGCCAGTTACTTCGAATGTAAGCATTTTTTCCAAAATCGTTTGTGTCTAAACCAGTTCTTTCTACAAATCAGTAAGAAAATGATAAAACAATTCAAAAGGAGAATGAACAAAGGCCAGAAAACTCAGAGAAGAAACACAAATGTTCAATAAACATATAAAGACATTTAATTAAATTCATGAGTAATCAGAAAAATTCAAATTTAGATGGAATCCCTTTTATTCATCCATAACTTCAACAAAAAGTTGGAGAATACCCAGTAGTGAAAGGTGTGGGGATATGAATGCTGTCATCATCTGCTGACAATAGAGTAAGTTGGGACATTTTTGAGGGCAATTAAAAATTTACATCTACATAGTCTTCACCCTAACAATTCCATTTCTAGATATCTATTCTACAGGAAGACTTGCCCATGTTCACAAAGAAGCATGTACAGAGATTTCATTGCAGCAATGTATGTAACAATAAAACTAAACTAAACATTCATCAATGGGGGAATAATTAAATAAACTATGATGCATCCAGACTATGGATGATGCAGGAGTTTAAATGAATGGGGTGTCCCTCTGAGTACTGGGAAGGAAAGAAATCTAAGGCATGTCATGAAGTCAAAGAATCAAGTTGCAAGATGTTACCATTTATGTAAAGAAAAAAAAATTTAAAGACCACACAACAAATCTATTTTGCTTTCTGTAAATATGTATGTAGGCAAATGGGAAAAAGTCTGGAAGGATGTACACTAAATACAGAGTAGCACTACCTCAGGGATGAGGGAGTAGGGCACAAGGAGGGTTTTTGTTATACCTGTTACTACATTTTTATACATTAAAAATAGAATCATGGACCGGGGTGGTGGCTCACGCCTGTAATATGAGCACTTTAAGAGGTCAAGTGGGAGGATCACTTGAGCCAAGGAGTTCAAGATCAGACTAAGCAACATAGGAAGACCCTGTCTCTACAAAAAAAATACAAAATTAGGTGGACGTGGTGGCATGCACCTGTGGTCCCAGCTACTTGGGAGGCTGAGGTGGGAGGATCACTTGAGCCTGGGAGGTGAAGGCTGCAGTGAGATGTGATTGTGCCACTGTACTCCAGCCCGGGGACAAATTAAGACCTGTCTCTTGAAAAAAAAAAAAAAAAAAAAAAAAGAGGACAAAAAGGAATACAACCATGTATTATTTGTGTGATAAAAAATAAATTTAAATTGCCTCTTATTTTAAAGAGAGCCTACCAAATTTAATTTTTAAATAATCATAGGATTGCCATCAACAGTGGATGATTTCGGGTATGAAGGAGAAATTTCTCAGACCTCAAAATTCTGGACCAAGAAGGATCTTACAATGCAGTTAGTTTTTTGTCAAATTTGGAGAGAATATACTCACAGTTTCTCGGTCCAAATGTATGCTTTCCAAACATTTCCATCAATGTATGAAATACAGTTTCCTTGGAAATTTCTGTGAAGAAACACAGTTTATATCCTTGAATAGGTAGGACAAAAATGAACAGGATAAATAAAAGAATCATGGCAACCTTGTTGGGAATATTCAGTTACAGAAAATAACACCTGCTTTCTTATTTCCAGAGCTATCAGCTTCCCAGTTTGCACAATTCATCAAGAAACAATGTGGGGCCACTGGCACAAATGATGAGGCATCTCCCAGAAGCTTAACTTCCTATCTGTCACATCTCTCGGACAAACAGTGCCAGTTAATTACTTTGAATGTAAGTATTTTATCCTAAAGCACTTATGTGTTTAAACAAACTCCTACAAATCAACACAAAAATGGTAAATAATTCAACAGAAAAAATGGGCAAAAGCTTATCACTATCAACAAATAAGCAGAAAGAAACCCTATGCCAGGTAGCACCAAAGCTTTGCCCTCTGTTGAAACATCCTAGGCTTTTTCTTTCCACTCTTATTACAACCGACCTCATTTGGCCCCTTCACACTTTACTCCTACGTTTTGCGAGACCTTTCTATTCTGTCTCCCTGAAATAAGCTTTTCCTTTTGGGCACTCTACATATGGATTCTAAAATAATACTTTGCATGTCTACACTTGAACGTAAAGCAAAAAACAAAATAAAATAAAATAATCCTCCTATTTTAATCATTTAATCTCTCTTGCTTGGAAACTTTCAATGGCTTTCCATACCTCACTGTGTAACTTTCAAACTCCTATAGCTGACAGTCAAGGTTTTACATAATCATATCTTCACTGTTCCCTCACCTAATTCTTTGCAGCCAGATTGGTCTACTAAATTCCAACCATACCTGTAGCCATGCCTTTGCCTAGACCGTACTCCTATTTTTGTTCTATTTAACAAATTATAGTTACTCTTTAAGACCCAAGTAAAATTTTAGCCTATCCATGTAGCTTTCCCTGATCTCCACACCTCAAGGATCACAGATTCTGGCAAATTCTAGCACCTATGGTCTGCATTATCTTTTAGTACTTAATTATATATACCTCCCTTTTTATGCCTATTCTCTTTCTTCCCTCCTATCATTTTCATGTTCTGGAGACAGTAGCATACTTGACCCTGGGTTTGACACAAAACGAGTGCTACATATAGAAACCTAGGGACAATGATGAGTTCTGCACAAAACTAAAGAACTCTCAAGTAATCATGTTAACAGCCAACGCTCCTACATATGCTAGGCACTGATGAAGTGTTTCATATATTCACTCACCTACATTTCACAACAATCCTATGAAATGGGAACTGGCATAACCCCCAGTTGAAAGGTGAGGAAATTGAGTCACAGAGCGGAATAACTTGCTCTGGGTCACCAAGCTAATAAACAGACCTGGGTTCAACCCCAGGCAGCCTGGCTCTGGAATCAACTCTTAACCACTTAGAGCCTCATCACTGAGATCAGGAGAGGGACAGGCTGCTGTAAAGAGGGTGAAGCAAAACTGGGAGGAGAGCGGTGGTTAAGCAATGATGTGATGGAGCTAAATAAAAATGGATGAGAAAACGAGTAAAAGGCTAGAGTAAAAGTAAAAGACTGGAGAAGGGGCCTAACATTAAAGGAGAATGAGAAGGGAGAGTTGACAAGCAAAGGTGAAGCAGAAAGTCAGTTGTCAGGATGGCTTGGGGAGATAAAGAAAGCCAGGAAGGCCTCCAGGAAAAGGCTGCCACGTCAGGCAGGACACAGAGGACAATTGGGGAAAGGTGATCCTTACAAGATGGTGAAGGTGCCATTGTAGGTGTTGGGCTCTGGCACAGGCACTTGGCAGAGCCTCTGCTTTGGGCTGAGATCAACACATGACAGCGTCTCATCTCCGCAGGTACAGAGCTCACATATGTTGGTGCTTGTGGAGGCCTTCTGTCCCTCTGGTACAGTTAAAGTCTTATTTTGGGCGTAACTTACAGACTGCACCGATGAATTTTGAGTAGGTTCTAGTTCAGTACGTGGACCTGTGACTTCAGTCAGTTTTCGATGCAGAGTCTGAACCTGGTCTGGACGAGGAGCTGTAGTCATCTCCAGGGCTGTAGAATGTCCAGTCTCTGTAGTGGGCTCTGGAGTTATGGCAAGCCCCGGGTCTGGAGGCTGAGTTGAGGTCTCCTCTGTGGTTGGAGATGGTTTAACCTCTGTAGTAGGTTCTGTAGTTATAGTAAGCTCCAGAGCCAGAGGTTGAACTGTGCCTTGAGTCAGGTGTGAATGCTGAGCCTGACCCTTGTCTGAAGGTGGAAGTGTCACCTCAGGGTGTTCTGGAGGAGGAGCTGTAGTCGTCAGGGCTGTGGAAGGTTCAACTTCTGTCGTGGATTCTGGAGTGCTGGTAAACCCTAGGTCCAAAGGTTGACCTAGGTCCAAAGGTTGAACTGTGGCTTGGTCAGGTGTGGAATGCTGAGTCTGAACCTGGTCTGGATGTGGGAAGTGTTACCTTAGGGATGCTTTGGAGGAACTAGAGTCATTTCAGGGGTATAGAATGTCCAACTTCCATAGTGGGTTCTGAAGTGATGGTAAGTCCTGTGTCCAAAGGTTGAAATGTGGCTTGAGTCAGGTAAATGCTGAGCCTGACCTTTGCCTGAAGGTGAAAGTGTCACCTCAGGGTGTTCTGGAGGAGGAGCTGTAGTCTAGGCTGTAGAAGGTTCAACTCTCTGTCATGGGATTCTGGAGGCTGGTAAACCCTAGGTCCAAAGGTTGAACTGTGGCTTGAGTCAGGTGTGAATGCTGAGTCTGAACCTGGTCTGGATGTGGAAGTGTCACCTTAGGATGCTCTGGAGGAACTAGAGTCTTCTTCAGTGCTGTAGAAGGTACAACCTCCGTAGTGGGTTCTGGAGTGATGGTAAGCCCCAGGTCCAAAGGTTGAACTGTGACGCTGGGTGACATTGGATGCTGAGCTTCATCCAGACCTACTGTTGGAATTGCTACCTCTTGATATACTCGAAGTTGGGGTACAACTTTCTTAGGAGGCTGAGTTGGGGTCTCCTGCATGGTTGCAGAAAGTTCAACCTCTGTCGTGGATTCTGGAGTGCTGGTAAACTCCAGGTCCAAAGGTTGAACTGTGGCTTGAGTCAGGTGTGAATGATGAGTCTGAACCTGGTCTGGATGTGGAGGTGTCACCTTAAGTTGCTTTGGAGGAATGAAAGTCTTCTTCAGAGGTGTAGAATGTCCAACCTCCATAATGGGTTCTGGAGTGATGGTAAGCCCCAGGTCCAAAGGTTGAACTGTGGCTTGAGTCAGGTTTGAAGGCTCTAGAGATTGAGCTACAACTACATTAGGGAGCTCTGGAGTCTGAGCTGGGGCCTCTTGCTGGGTTAGAGAAGACTCACCCTCCCCAGCGGTCTGTGGATGCTCAGCTGCAGCCTCCTGCTGGGTTGGAGAGGGGTTCTCATTATTAACAGGTTCCGGAGATTGAACTGAAGTCTGTTGAATTGCTAAAGGTCCAGCCTCTTCTGATGACTCTGGAGGCAGAGGTGGGCCCCCGTGCTGGATGGTGGGAGGTTCTACATCATTATCTGGCCCTGAGAGCTGAGCTGTAGCCTCCTGATGGACTGGAGAAGTTCCCACCTCTGCACTAGGCTCTGTTGCTATGGTGAGCTGCACATCTGGAGGCTTAACAGAGACACTGGGGAAATCTGAATACTGAGTTTCATGGTGACCTGGAGGTGAAACTGTGACTTCATGATGTTCTGGAGGCTGAGCTAGGGCCTCCTGCTGGGCTGGAGAATATTCAACCTCCCCAGAAGACTCAGAAGGCTGAGCTGGCTGATCCTGCTCACTGGGGGAAAGTTCAGGCTCTACAGGAGGACCTGGAAGCTCAGTTGGGGCCCCCTCTTGGATTGCAGATGGCTCCATCTCTTCTGGAGGCTGAGCTGGGGTCTCCTGCTGAGTCTGAGAAGATTCAACCTCCCCAGAAGACTCCAAAGGCTGAGCTGGCTGCTCCTGCTCACTGGGGGAAAGTTCAGCCTCTATAGGAGGACCTGGAGGCTCAGTTGGGGCCTCCTGTTGGGTTGCAGAAGGTTCCACCGCCTCTGGAAACTGAACTGGGGCCTCCTGCTGGGCTTGGAAAGATTCTATCTCATTGGGAGGCTCTGAAGTTATGGTAACCTCCACATCTGCAGGTTTAACTGTGATTTTGGGCAAGTTATAATGAGCTTGATCCTCACCTGGAGGCTGAACTGTCACCTCACGATTCGGTAGAGTTAGACTTTCCATAGGGGATGCTGGAGGCAGAGCTGGGGCCTCCTGCTGGGTTGAAGAAGGTTTTTCCTCCTCAGGGAGCTGTGGAAGCTGCGCTGGAGCTTCTTGCCAGAGTGAAGAGGACTGGATGTCTTCAAGCGTCTCTGGATTTTGAGTTTCGGGCTGGAATTGAGAAAGTCCAACTCGCTCAGGGGGCCCTGGGGGCTCATCTGAGTTCACCCGGAGTTCTGGAGGCAGGCTGCCGGGATACAGTGTGTCCATACTCGAATATTCATCCTGCAAAGTCTGTTTCTCACGCTGAGGTTTGGATAATGGGTGTGGAATTCCGACAATCTCAGCAAGGCTCCAACGCTCAGCTAGATCTTTCTTCAGGTTCTTGGGCGAAACAATAAATGTGGTTGGTTTTGAAATCTTACTGTCTAGCGGAACAAGTATTTCATCTGCCTGATGACCTGCAGCCCGATCTAGATCTGCAGTTGGAACCTTACTTTTGAGGCGAGGAAGCTGAACTAGGGTCTGGTTCTGATCCCCGTCCAGCAGTGGGACCACCTCTGGGAGCCTTTCTTCCAGAGTCAGCTTGTCATTTAAATCCTGGTGTGCAGCGGAGAACTGCTCTGGCCCCAGGGGCAGCTCTTCAGCTGAATCTGTGTCCAGGAATGGAACCAAATTTTCAGTCGATTCCCGGGGTGGGGCTGATATCTGCAAGGAAGCAGAGGGCCCCAGGTAATCAAAGTCCCCCGGGTCTGCCGGGGGAGTGGGCGCATGGGGGGATTCCCATGGGAGATGGGAGGAGCGGGAAGACCGGGGCTCAGGCGGCCCCAAGGGGTTAGAGTTCAGCTGGAGTGGGTCCTTGACCCACTCCAGAGGCTGAGCCTCCTTGACTAGTAGACACAGTATTTGCCACGTGAGGAGGGGCCATAGGCCCCAGAAACGCAGCTGGGACATGATACAGGCTGGCGCTGCACACTGAGTGGGAGCCATTCTGGCAGCCCTGAGAGGCTCCTGCCCCTTATAAGCGTGCGCCCCACCCTGTGTTTATGACACCTTTATTTATGCCACAGATCTGTTCCATGTCACCACGGCACTCTTATGTCACATTCCCGCCCAAGCAGCCTTCCCCACCCTGCCCGACGGGAACACCCCTCCCCTCCCCTTAGTGAGGAAGGATTTGGTCCATAGACCCAGGTGGTCCCACGACTCCAGCGGCCTGCTGTGGTGTTGTGGGGTGGGGTGGGGTGGGGTGGGGTGAGGGCACAGCAGAGCTTCCCAAGGAAGTCACAGGACCTCACCTCAGGACATTCAGAAGTGCTAGTCCAGTTGTGGTAGCCTGAATTCTTCCTCCTTCAAGGTGAAATTTGAGAATACTCTTCCTTCCAGGGAGAGCAACTGACCTGCAAAATGGGCGCCAGTTAGGGTGGCAGGCACCACGCACATTACAGTCATTTAGGCTGAACTGTCATCCTGCCTTGACTCAACACAGCCATTACCCTAGAAGTTACAGCGCCACCCTTCAGAGATCTACCCTGTGTGCACACATGGAGAAGAGGCTTAGGTTGTTAAAGTCAACATGTTAAATAATGTCCTGAAATGCGACTGTAACTAGGACCCAGCTGACTTCCCCCACAGCCATTCTTACCTATTTTATTACTGTCTGGCACAACTACCAGCATGTAAACTCCAAGATGTTTCATCTTATTCCAGTGCCTAGTAGAGGCATAGGGTGCATAGTGATGGTTTTAAAATTGAAGGGGGGCCGTGCACAGTGGCTTACACCCATAATCCCAGAACTTTGGGAGGCCAAGGTGAGTGGATCACTGAGGTCAGAAGTTCGAGACCAGCCTGACCAACATGGTGAACCTCCATCTGTACTAAAAATACAAAATTAGCCGGGTGTGGTGGTGCATACCTGTAATCTCAGCTACTCAGGAGGCTGAAGCAGGACAATCGCTTGAACCTGGGAGGCAGAGGTTGCAGTGAGCCGAGATCGCAACATTGCATTCCAGCCTGGGCAACAGGAGAGAAACTCCGTCTCAAAAAAATAAAATAAACTAAAATTGAAGAGATTCCAAGATTCGCCTCATTTAGGGATGGATCTATTGTTATAATCAGATTCCTGATATCAGTGCTGACTTCCTCTAATATTTCACAGGAAGCTAGACTTCTTAAAGCTTAAAGCTTCCTTGGTGGGTTTTATTTAAATTGAATTAAAATAATTATTTTACAGGGAAAACCTTCAAAACACTTCCAACTTTGGGGTGAAAGTTAAATAAAACACTGTAGCCTCAAGTTAAGTTCCCACTGAAATGATACTTTTGCTTTTTTTTTTTAATTAAAAAAAACATTCCATATGTAGTAAATTACTGTTTTGAGATTTAGAAACTTAATCCCTATTTAAGAGCTTTCATATGCAGTCATGCGTTGCTTGCCATATGAGGAGTTTGAGAACTGTCTCATTGGGTGATTTCATCATTGTGCTAACATCATGGCGTATACTTATACAAACGTAGGTGGTGTAACCCACAACACACCTAGGCTATGTGGTACGGCCTACGACTCGTAGGCTACAAACCTATACTGTATGTTACTGTACTGAATACTAAAGGCAACTGTCACACCATGGCAGGTATTTGTGTATGTAAACCTGGAAAAGGTATAGTTAAAATACTGTATAAAAGATAAAAATGGGGGCCGGGTGCAGTGGCTCACGCCTGTAATCCCAGCACTTTGGGACACTAAGGTGGGTGGATCACCTGAGGTCAGAAGTTTGAGACCAGCCTGGCCAACATGGCAAAAACCAGTCTCTACTAAAAATACAAAAATTAGCTGAGTGTGGTGGTGCGTGCCTATAATCCCAACTCAGGAGGCTGAGGTAGCAGAATTATTTGAACCCGGGAGGTGGAGGTTGCAGTGAGCTGAGATTGCACCACTGCACTCCAGCCTGGGCAACAGAGTGAGACTCCATCTCAAAAAAAAAAAAAAAAAAAATAATAATAATAATAATAATAAAATAAAAAAGGATAAAAATGGTATACCTGTATAGGGATAGCTCCATTATACTCTTACAGAACCACCATCATATATGTGGTCTATTGTTGACCTAAACTTCGCTTTGCAGCACATGATTGTAAATGATCGACAGAAAGATCTTCAGCAAAATATTCCACCCAAGGTACATGGGAGATACTAAGATCCAAGTAATAAGCCATATTTGAAAGGCATTATCGTTTTCAAAAGCTGTAGCACAATCAGTCTTAAGGCCACTTCCATCTCCCCACATCTCTGGGATCCTGTTTGAAGGGAGTTCTAAAAAGGCCTGTGTTCAAGCAGCCCAGCTTCCCTTACTCCTGGGGCCGGGGGAGACTAACCCCTCTCCTGTGTCCACAGCTGTAGTAACACAGTCCTCAGTTCTGTCACCAAACTCCAAATAAGGGGTCAGAGCCAAGGATCAAGACTTTAGGAAAAGCCCCAGAAATACCCTGCACTCAAAAAGCAGTTTTGGAGTTTCACATTTTCCTGAGAATGAAGGAAATTATCCTCCAAATTCTGCTGCTTATTTTGAATTATGGTTATGCTGGATATGTTATCTGACCCTTGAGTTGTTTTTATTTATTTATTTATTTTCCTCAAAATGGAGTTATTTATTTACTTATTTTTCTCAAAACGGAGTCTTGCTCTGTCACCCAGACAGGAGTGCAGTGGAATGATCTCGGCTCACTGCAACCTCTGCCTTCTGAGTTCAAGCGATTTTCCTGTCTCAGCTTCCCAAGTAGCGGTGATTACAGGGGCCTGCCACCACACCTGGCAAATTTTTGTATTTTTAGCAGAGACAGGGTTTCACCATGTTGGCCAGGCTGGTCTTGAACTCCTGACCTCATGATCCGCCCACCTCTGCCTCCCAAAGTGCCAGGATTACAGGTGTGAGCCACCGCGCCTGGTCTGTTTGTTTTTTGAGATGGAGTTTCACTCTTGTTGCCCAGGCTGGAGTGCAATGGCGTGATCTCGACTCACTGCAACCTCCGCCTCCCGGGTTCAAGCGATTCTCCTGCCTCAGCCTCCTGAGTAGCTGGGATTATATGCATGTGCCACCATTTCTCCATGTTGGTTAGGCTGGTCTTGAACTCCCGACCTCAGGTGATCCTCCTGCCTTGGCTTCCCAAAGCACTGACATTACACGTGTGAGCCACTGCACCTGGCCCTGTTACTCCTGAGTTTTTATCTCCACATACTTGAATTAAACCGTGTAGTTCTTCTTCCCATCTGACATCTACAATCTCTTCACTGGGTCTGTATGCCACAACTATTTTACTACTTTCTGAAATAAAGTTAGCAAGGATCAATTCAGAATCTTTTTCATTCTAAAATGTCCTGCATATAATGGTAGCAGCCCACAATGAGACATTCTTTTGGTTTCTAAAAGCAGAAAATAAGAGCATTTTCCTGGAAGTTTCCTCATCTCCTCATCATGCACTTTGATTTTTTTTTCTTTCTTCTTTTTTTTTTTCTTTTTTGGGAGACAGGTTCTCACTCTGTCACCCAGGCTGGAATACAGTGGCACTATCATAGCTCACTGCAGCCTGGAATTCCTGGGCTCAAGTCATCCTCCTGCTTCATCCTCCAGAATATCAGGGACTACACCACTGTGCCCAGCTAATTCTCTTTTTTAGAGACATGACCCCACTTTGTTTTCCAGGCTGGTCTCGAACTCCTGGCTTGAAGTGATCCTTCTGTCTTGGCCTCCCAGAGGGCTGAGATTTCAGGTGTGAGTCACCATGTCCGGTCTCACACCTCAGTTTTTAACATATGTGTGAAATATTAACTGTGTTTGGGTCAAAGGACTTTATGATCTTACAGATAGGAACTAAGGAATAATTACATAGGAAATAAAAAATGTGGAAACAAAACTGTTGAATCACAATATGATTAAATGGTAAGGCATCAGGTGGGGGGCTGAAGTAAGTTCAAATCCAAAATAGAGACCACGGGGCTAGTAGACACTTCACGTTAGAAGCACAGCTAGGTGTCTACTCGCTGAGAACCAAAATGCCACCAGATACAATGAACAAACCCTCAGAGAGAGAGAACATTCGAACATTTTATGGGAAGAAAATGGCCCACGTACTCTATAGACAATACAATTTCCTTCAAGGAAAACTACAGCTATAAGGGCTTTTGGTCTAAGAAGTTTTGAGTGTGTGCAAAGGATACCTCTGCATACTAGGGAGAGGGGGACAACCCACACATTTAGCTTCGTTATTAAAGGTTGTTACTCAGACTTGACAGTTGATGACCAAGGAAGTAAGACTTCCACTAGAAGGGCTACCCAGGTTGGAAAGCTGAGAGCAATCATGGCCACCTCTTACAAGCAAATAAAAGTCTGTAGTAACTTAATTAGGATCTCTCAATCTCTAATCCTTCAGGGCTGTGAAGCAGAAAAGCAACTCCGTTCAGGGACTCTTTGCTAAACACCATGTTTCCTTTGGGCACAGGCTATGACATCTGCACCACTGTAGAACTGAATAGGGAATACAAGCAATGCCATTCAACAGCACGACCACTTCCAAGGCTCACAGCAAAGCAGCTGATTATTGTATAAGAATCATATTTGGCCAATATGTCAGTGCCAGAAATGAAAGCGGGAAGAGAATTCTCGATTCGGAAAACATAATCTAATAAACTCTTCAGCTGAGAGTTTATTTATTCAGAGAGAAAACAACAATGACAATAACAGCATATTCTATCTGCTTACCTTGTAAGTATAGTTCTGAGTTTTGATATTTGTCATCTCATTTTGTCTTACAATATCCCCCAGAGGCTTGACTGGCTTACTAACCCCAGTTTGCAGATAAAGATTGCAGCTTAGAGATATTAAATATCTTCAAATCTCTCTGGCCATAAGATCTAAAATTGCATTAAAAAATCTAAGAGACAGAGTTAAGACTCAAATCCATGTGTCCGAGGCTTATAATCACTATTCTGTATGATGGGCATGCAATTAAAGAAGACCTGCCTCGAACATTTTCTGTATGAACTGAGGCA